CCCTTCCCCTGCACTGCTGCTCCTCACCAATGACCCAATTCATAGAATCATAGAAGAAGTGAGCCCCCTCATTCCAGTGTGGGAAAGGGCATCCCCTAACACTGCCAAGATCCTGATTCACATGCAGAGAGCAGGAGGGAGCTTAAAGCTTCAGAGCTGGGACCAAATATTTACCCTGTGCATGGTATGTCCCAGGCTATTAAAGTAGCTGAGCCTAAAGCAGAATGGTGAGAGAAGCTGTTTGCTTTTCAAACTGGACCAGCAAGTGTGTATTGAATTACCTGTATGCCAGATGAGATTTAGCTGTAAATCTCAGCAACAGCACTCTGCAGTAATGCAGATGTGAAAGGGAGAGAAATCAAAGGAAGCAAATGAGGAGGGGACAGTTGTGGAATTATACAGAAAGGAGGCAAATCCTGGCTGATTGCTTGGTTTGAAGCCAAAGGTTTTTATAGGAAGGGCGTCAGCTCTGTGAGGAAATCAGCTGGAACAGGTCTGGCAGGATAGCTCTCCAAGTGAGAGCTCTCCTTGCAGAATACCAATGATTTGCATCCAAAAGAAAGTGGCTAGAAGCAGCTATTTCAGGAGCTCTCCCTGCACTAGGGCAGGAATTGGGATGCTGGAGGAAGTGGAATACAAAACACCACCTGCCTTGGAGAAGAGAATCCAAGAGGTTGGAGGGCACATCTTCATGCTGGCTTGCCTTTGTGTTGGAATAGCTGGCGGTTGCTATTCATTTGTTGCTTTCCTTGCCTTTTTTGCCCTGTCTCTGATACAGGGACAGACTGGTGTCTCCATATCCCAAACCCGGTCGGCTTTGTGGATCCTTGGACTTGAGGGAGGCTCTGGGAAGGGCTGGGAGCAATGAGAAACACCACTGTTAGCAGAGGAATGCCTGTTTTGCAAGCTGCCTTTGCTTGCCCTGGTCTTCTCCCAGCCGCATGGCCTTGTGCCGACGCTGCTTTACACTGGCACTGCTGGTGGCCAGAAGCAATTAACAGCAAATGGAGTGAGAACAAAAGCATGAATTCCAGCCTCGAAGGACGTGGTGCTGGATTTACCTGGGGCACTAGGACCAGCACTGAGAGATGCCACACTGTGCTGTACAGCATCAGTATCTCCTCCTGCAGCGGGCTGGGGGGTACCAGCATTACAGGCCATGCCCTGGGTTTGCCAGCAGATCCAGCCTTTGTTTTTAATCCTGGCTAGGGATCCCCCTGATTCATCAGAGCAGGAGCTGTGCTGGATGGTTTCTCTGAGGTGGCACCGTGCCAGGAGCAGCAGGTCCTGGCAAGGGTTGGGACAGTGCCACTCACCCAGCAAGGAGCCTCCCTTCAGGCTGGCTCTGTGGCACCTTCCAACCACCGTTCCTCAGTGTCGAATGCCGTATGTGCCTGTTCCAGGTGCAGGCTGGCGATGTGAGGAATCCAGCCTTGGGCATGCTGCTCCTGGAGAGGCGTGGGAGAAGGTTTTCAGTGCCCTGAGGCACCTTTCCAGCTCCCCACAGTTGCCTTGTCAGTGAGAACACTGGGGCTGTTAGGCCTGGAGAAGAGAAGCTGTGTGGAGACATCAGAGCAGCTTGCAGTGTCTGAAGGGGGCTACAAGGATGCTGGAGAGGGACTCTTCATCAGGGACTGCAGTGACAGGACAAAGGGTGGTAGGTTCAGACTGAAACAGGGGAAGTTCAGGTTGGATATAAGGAAGAAGCTCTTCCCTGTGAGGGTGCTGAGGCGCTGGCACAGGGTGCCCAGAGAAGCTGTGGCTGCCCCATCCCTGGCAGTGTTCAAGGCCAGGTTGGACACAGGGGCTTGGAGCAACCTGCTCTAGTGGAAGGTGTCCCTGCCTGTGGCAGGGGTTGGAACTGGATGAGCTTAAGGTCCCTTCCAACACAAAGCATTCTGTGATTCTCTGCTCATCCCCAGGCTCCAGCCCTGCTGTTGTACCAGAAGCACCAGCATGGTCAGGGACCACATGTGCTTTGTGGCATGGAAAGGTCAGCAAATGCAAACCACAGCTCTTCTCCCCTCACCTAAATGGGAAAGAGAGGCCACAAAATGCTGCTGCAGAGTTCCTGCTTTACAGGAATGCTGTCAGGACACATCCATTCATGCCAGCAGATGATTTGGACACAGCAGCCAGGAGTGCTTTCAGCAAAGCAAGGTGATGCCCGGATCCACACTGGTTATCTGTTTCCTGCAGGACAGGGTATCAGTCCCAGGCGCTGGAGAACAGCACCATATCAAGCCCTTTGGTTCTAGTTATCAGCTGGTTACAAGGGTTGCTGGCAGGAGGGAAAGCTGTGATGTGAACTCTGCTCTGCTCTTTGTTTCTGGGTCACAGATGAGGCCATACAGAGTTGATTTTCGGAGTCTGGCTTAGAAGTGGCTGAAACCTGATGATGGGAGAGCCAGAGATCATGGCAGTCACTGCTCCTGCTCTGAAAGAACTGGAGGAAGGGGGAGCAGCAGAGGAGACAAACCAGACTGTTTTGCTCTTGATCTTTCTTCCCACTGTAATATCAGCCTTTTGCTCTGAATAGTGAGTGCTAGAAAAGGTTTCAGTGTGCTCTTCCTTTCCAGACCTTGCCCCTGCATCATTGCATGCTGCCCACCATGGAGCAAAGCTGAAGTAAAGCCTTCCACATGTCCCCACATCAACTGGTGTGGCCACACTCAGCTCTTGCTTTTGTGGCCCATGGGTGCAGACATGCTGGGCCATCAGCCAGGCTGCATCCTGGCTAACAAAACCCCTTTGGGACTGGCAGTATCCAACATCTGGTTCCTGCTGTGTGATTCTGACAAGCTTGGAAAATCACAGCAGTAACCAATAGACATTGCTCCACCGTGCCTTGTCACCAGCTGCATTGCTCCATGGTGAGGAGTTGTGGGGCCCACTGCCTGGGGATGTGCACATGCAGGGACACACTCCGCTACCCATCACACTCCTGACAAACAGGCCAGGCTCCTCCTCTACTACTTGTTTCTTCCTTGGGTAGGATTCTTTCCAACCTTGAGGGCTCGGAAGTTGAGAGTGCTGAAAGCCTGAGGAATAAGCAAGTTAGGGAAGCATCTTTTTAAGTGCTTTGTTGACCCATTTGCCCTGTTCCTGTCAAGCCTGAGGGAGCTGATATGCAACTGAAACCAATTGCATTTGGTTTTAGGTTCCTCGAGGGCTGCTCTAGGCAGGCATCTTCAGGAAAGCCAATCTGAGTTGACTTCCAAATGAGAGTAATTAAATCAAATGAAGTCTTTGCAGGGAAGAGATGGAGGATGCACTCAGCTCACGGTAACAGTCCCAGGGCAATATGGGGATGAGCTGATTTGTCACCCAAAGCTTCTCCCTCTTTTCCATCTGCCACGAGGCAGCAGCATGTGTCTGGGATGTCCTTTGTCACCATGACATGATTTCAGTGGATGCTCCAGTTTGACTCCTACCTGTGCCTGCCTTGTCTCCATCCATCCACTGGATGTGACAGCTTTCAACACACTCTGCTTGCAGGGGAAGTCAGAGGAGCAGGAGGAATAACCTGGAGTATGGTTGCATTGGCTTCAGAGCCTCTGGCTTTGCTGAAGGACTTTCAGGAGTGGTTCTGGAGGATGGAAAGTGGATGCAGGCTGGAGGCAAAGCATTCTTTCTCCTTCAGCTCTCTATTTTTAACCAGGCTCTGAAGCCCTCTCCCGAGTACTTGGATTGCTGTTTCCTTGGGTTTGCTTTGTGGTGCTTTTACTGCTGCTATTTTAGGGGGGGAATGTGATAAAAGAGAAGAGGAAGAAAAGGTTTCTTCTTCTGTTTTTTTTTTTTTATCCTTCAAGCCAGAAATGAGAAAATGGAAACTAGAAAAAGAACAGGAAAATGCCCCCATTCTTTCAAAATAGCTCCAGAATAGCGCATTCCCACTTTCAATGCCAGGTTCTGTGCCTCAGTGAGAAGCAAAAGGTGAAGTGCCTATCTCCTGTAGGAATCCAGGGGCACTGTTCCTTTCCACACTGCCTTGGGCACTGACCTAGAGACACAGGGAGACTTCCCTTTGACTTTGGCAGCTCTGAAAGACCCGTTGTTGCTTAACAGCCATCCTTTATGCTGACACACACGGTCTGTGTGCATCTGTCAACAGGGGAGGGAGACGTTATTGAAATGGGTAATAATGGAGATGAAAACAATCTGTGCTGGTCTCTGGGTAATAACCAGCTGATATTAAGCCTGGCTGATAACACTTAATAATGAATGGGCATTAATTAAAGCTAAATTACAAGGGAAGGTGCAGGCCTGGCTCCCAATCCAATTAGAGCCCTGTAATTCATAACGGAGAGAATCTGTCCAGCCTGTGAATAAATGATCAAAGTCAACAGCAGAGCTGTGGAATAGTTTAGATGATGCCTTGATAGGGAAGAGGCCAGAAGAGGATTAATACATAACTGTGGCCTGAAAGTACATTGGGTTTGCCATGCAGAGATATACATGGTAGTGCATGTGTGAGAGCCCAGATTCAGCTCTGGTGTGGCTCCAGAAGGTTTTGGGATCAGTCCAAAGGAAGGGTATGGACCTGATGGGAGGAAGATATCTGTTGTAGGCCCCGTCACAGTGACAACAGAAAGGAAAGAGCCCTAGGGCAGCTCTCTGGATGCTGGGTTAGACAACTTGGTGATATGCCATTAAAAGACAACAAAGAGCAAGCAAGGTGCTGATGGCTGTGGTCAAATACCTCCACTGCATCTCAGAAATAAGTCATGCCCACACTAACATTGACTTTGCATTTAAACAAGGCTGTTCCAGGAGGTGATTTCCACCTAGACTTGTCCTTCAGCTCCCAAGCTGTGAGCAGCTCCAGTCCAGCATAGAGCCAGGAGGAGCAGCCAAGCCAGCAAGTTTTGAGAGCCTGGGAATTGGATGCCAGAGAGGGACAGCAGTGATAGGACAAGGGGTGATGGCTTCAAAATGAACCACGGGAATTTCAGGGATTCTATGATTCTAATGATGATTGTAAATACATGTCTTCCCAGGGCTAAAGGGCAGCACTGCAGCCACCCACTCTCCCAGGCCATGCTTGGGGCCAAGCTGGCTCCAAGCACCTCTCACAGTGCAGCCACCCCAAGGAGTTGTGCAGCTCAGTGTCGTAAAGGATGCTTCGTTGTGAAGCAGAGGGAGATGACAGCTTCTTGCTTCACTGCCAGGAGCAAAGCTGTGGCTGGTACAAGTTCAGACCTGACTGTGATGTGCCCTATGTGCAAGGAAGAGTCAGGGGAGACACTGATGGCATCAAAGTTGACAAGACCATTGACAAGGGAACAGTGGCTCACTGGGAACTGAGGACTTGAGCCAAGAAGAAGCTGCAGGTGGAGCACAAAGTGCCACCAGCTCTGACAGCAGCAGCAGCAGCAGCACCAACGATGACTGAGGGTCATTGACCACTGAATGCTGGATGTATCTGACTGAACCAACAGCCTCAGGGTGTTTGCAGAGTTGGGGACAAAAGACTCCGTTTTAAACCTCGTGGTTTAAAGAAGCTTTCTAATAAGACATCTGCCAAAGGCCCCAGAACCAGCAACTCTGAGGAAGAATACACCATTTTGAAAGCTTGGGGTGTTTAAAGCACACTCAAATGTGTCCCACAAATGCTACATAGCATCAATGATACTCTGAAAACGCTCTTCTGGTCCAAAGCGACTCCATGTTTTCTCCCTTTTTCTCCTATGTCTTGTCTGCAGAGCAGGTGATCCAGATATGCTTTCCAGATGAAAGGGAATATTCTTACTCAGGAATAAATGTAAGGATATTTTTCGGCTTAATGTAATGAAAAGAATGCATTTTGGCTCAATACAGCATCACGCTATATGTGTCCACAGAGGCAATTCCAAAGGATGCTCTAGTTTAGACTTGCACCCTGTGTAATTACCCACCAGGTGTAGGCTGATCCTTGTGGCACCCATGTGGTGCCAACCCAAGCAGGAGGTTGGCTTGCTGGGACCAGATGAGTGCCAGCTTGCACCAACCCCAGTGGTGGGAGCCAGGGTAAAGCATCTGGCAAAAGAGAAGCCGTCTCCTTTGCAGAGCGTGGTCACAGCAGCCATTCCCAGACTGGGAGCAGTGTTTCCCGAGGAAGCGCCTGCGTGTGCCTGCCTGTAGTTGTGTACAAAGGACACTCAGCATATACCGCACTGGTGGGCAAGGCTGGGTTTGCTGCAGCACAGCCACGCTGCCTTCAAGAAGCAGCAAGAGGGAACCTGACTCCCTGGTGCAGTCATGAGGAATGAGCCAAGCCCAGAAATATCTTTATTATCCTTTTCCAAACAAATCCCTGTTTGCAGAGGCTTGATATTCCTGTGTTTCCAGGTGCCAGAGCTGGGCGTGCTGACAGAAAGAGCAGCTCAGGGGGCAATGCTCAGATGAGGCTGAGTTGTTCTGGAAAGAAATCAAAAGCTTTTAGTCCTCAGTAGCTCCCCCAAAATGCTCCAGTGGACTTGCACCTTCAGCACCCAGGCTTGGTGTGAACGCGGATGTGATGCTGAAGGCGCTGCTTAAAGAGCATGCCTCTGATTTCCTTCCAACTGAAGTATCAGGATTGAAAGACTTCAGCATGATTATGGGCTCCTGTTGTGTAGGAAATTGCCTTCTATCCATTTGAGTGTACCTGAAATGATTTCTTCCCCTTCCTGACCTCCAGAGAGTATTCTGGAAAAACAGTTCTTAAGATGCTATTGCAGCAGGGGTAAAAATAGCTGAACAGATGAGATGGTCTCTCTGACAGCACAAACACTTCCACGTGCCTATAGAGCAGAGAAAATGAAGCCTATTGCAGGAAACAGAGGGAACCTGTACACAAAAGAAGGAAATTTGGAAAGAATGACTAATCTAAGAGAGGAAACTAGGTGCTGTGGCCTGCTGTGAGCAAGGCAAGTGTCTCAGAGCATCAGGCTAATGTGCATGTCGTGCAGTGCATGCTGATGGGTTCTAGTGGAGCAGGGCTGCTGGGCTCTCAGGGACTGAAGCTCTGAGGGCTCCATCTGAGGAATGCTGTGGGATGAAGTTTGAACATGCTCCTAACATGCCAACCCAGGAACTGCTTATCCCTGAGTGTCAGCATAGTGATTTATGAGGGGAGCCCAGTTTAAAGCTTCCAGTGCTGGAAGCTGTTGCTTTTGGGAGGAGTGATGATTGAAACAGAGCTTGCTGGCTCCTGTAGCTTCCTGTGGGTGCCTGTTGTGTGATATGATTCTCTCATCGCAAGAAATGCTTCTTGGAGACAACAAAGAGCCCACAGATAGGCTCCTGATCCATTTTATCCTTTCCATCCATCTCCCCTGTTGTCTCAGCAGAGCTGCCCTCCTTTCCCAAGGCTCCCACCCCAGGAATTCCTGGGGAGGGGATGTGTGGGGCTTCAGCTTTGGCTTTTAACTGTTCACTACCAAGATTACACTGAGGGATGGTTTGACCTGTTGGTGAATGAGGGCTCATTCCTTAGAGGTGACTTGGCTGCAGCACTCACAGGGCTGTGGGGAAGTGAAAGAACAGATAAGAACATAAGGAGACGCTGAAAAACAGCAGGAGAGACTTGGGAAAGCCATTGCTCCTACCCGGAGCAAAAGACTGAGCATCATTGCTGGAGGCATGGATGGGAGAGACTGAAAAAGGAGGCACAAAGCTTGCTGTCATCTGCAGGTTTGTCCTGCCAAGAGGTGAGCTCATCAGGTGGAACAAATTCATCAAAACCCACCCCTCCACAGCCTGTGCCTGACCTCCTAGAACTGCCTGGTTTGGGTTGGAAGGGACCTTAGAGCTCATCCAGTTCCAACCCCTTGCCATGGGCCCCTCCACTAGAGCAGGCTGCTCCAAGCCCTGTGACAAATTCAAAGACCTTGACCATAAGCAACCCTGGGATCTGTAGTGCAGAGCTGCTGATCCAGTATATGTACTTGAGTTGGGTCATAGCAGGCTCCATGGCTCCAGTTCAGTGATGGATGGACATGCCAGAGCCCAGATTAGAGGTTATCTAGGCTATTTAGGTTATTCTAGACATCTGTATTATCTCAGTATCCAGTATCCAGCCCTCTCTATGATTCTGGACAGTGAAGAACTGGTTTTATCCCCACAGCCTTCAAACTTTAACTTTTGGCTGCTCCTTTTCTCCTCTTCATCACATACCACTTCTGCCCCAATGCATCTCACTTGATTTCACTGTGTTCACTGAAAAGGGTGTAAGAGTTTCTTTTAGCCTGCTAAATTATCACTAACCCAGAGCACAGCATCCAGAATGTCCTGTTTTAACAGCTCACAAAGGCTGGCAGACAGCCTGCTCTGTGAGAGTGGGCTTTGAACAGAGTTGGAGTTGTCCTTCCAGCCTCTGGCCCAGGGACCTGCAGTTGTTATTCTTACCCATAGGGTCCAGTCCTTGGGCTTGAATCCAGCCCAAGGGGAAAAGAGGGTACTCAGTATCAGAAAAGGAGATGGGCTTGTGATGCCAATTCCTCTTTCTTCTATTTTATCCATTCTAAACCCCGTTTCTAAACACCTTTTAGGGAGTGCATTCAAGGCTGTGGATGGCAGACTGCCTGGGTACTTGCTACTGTTCAGTCTTTTTAGAGGGAGAAGCCCTTTGTAAGCAGCATCTTCAAAGGGAGATGTTGTCTCTTGTCAAACAGATGGTCCTCTGCCCTCAGGAGATCTTTCCCAAGGGTCAGGGTGCCCACTGCATGGTCCCAGGCCAGGAAATTAGCATGAATACATGGTCTGGAGCAGAGGCCCAGGGGATGTCTGGGTCCATTAGGATTCCACCACTGCGACTGGACTCTTTGCTAGCTCATAAGGCATGATTCATGCCTAGGCCTTTCTTCGTGGCAGGGTTTTTTAGAAGAGCTCTCTCTGATGCATAATGAGAGCTGAGTGAGTGATGGATCCTTCCCTCACTCGGGATATTTATAGCCCTTTGCTTTCTTCTACAGCAAGTCACCTATTTTCGCAAGGCTCGTGGGCGCCTCGTGTCACTGAGACTTCAGCTCCTCTGCCAAAGGAGCCTGGCCAGGGGCTCAGAGGTTCCCCAGCGCTGGGATGGTGGATGGCTGGGGGCTTCTTAAGAAACCAATCTAAAAGCCATGAGACTACACAGGTCACTGTGTGTTTGGAGGCACCAAGGGTCAAGTTTCCCATCTGCTTCTCCACAGACAGCCAGGCTAACATTAGTTTCTTGGTTTGCACTGGGCCTGGGTTCTCATATCTTGCTGTGGAAGCTGAGATTATATTGGTATCATCTCTTCCAGGGTGCATCAGCTCTGACCGTACCAGGTGGGATAAGATCCAAAGCATCTGGTGTGGGTTTATTATAGCTCTTCTCCTTACACAGAATGGATGTGGACCAGCATGGATGGTCCCTGGGGGCTTATTCTGCTTTCTGGGTAAGCAAGCAGAGCTCCCTGACTACTCGTGTTTCCCAAAGCCATGTGTCTGGATACCTGCTTTCACCTGGAGGGCTCAAGAGAGCGGAGCAGGTCACTAGCAAAGTTGCCAAGATGTCCATCCAATCTCTAAGGCACTGTTTCATAGTCTCACATAGCTGGAGCCACAGGGAATGGATTCCAGAGCTGGATTCCACAAGGAATGAATGCTTGCACAATGGAGGTTTGAGCCTAAGGGAAGCCTTCTGTATCAGAACAAAATAAATAGAGGGTTTAAAATACTTCATACCCCTTTGTAACTTTCTCCAGGGAGAGTTTTGTGTCTTCTGCTCCAGCAGTGAATGCAGGCTGCCATCTCCCATTATGGGAACAATAGGAAACAGACTCAAACTGAGGGCAAACCTCTATTTTGAGGGTTCTTTCCATCAGTACCAAACCCACAGCTTCTGGGGTTTTGTCTTCATGTATTTTCCTTTTGATTTGTTTTGTTTTAGCACAGGAAAACCAGACTTTCCCCACCATGGATGCTGTTTGCTCCCTTTCCCCCTCCATCACCCCATCCCCAGGCTGGTCTGTGGCACAGGTAAGCCTTCACACCCCCCTTCCCTGTGCCGGGGGGGGGGGGCTGCCCGGTACCATCCTCCTGCAGCTCTGTGCACTTGTGCCCTCCTCCCCTTCCCACAGCCTGATTTATTGCCTTTATCTTTCCCTTTCACAGCTGCCCCTCACCGTGCCTGACCTCTGCTCCCTGCATACCTGGCATTCTTCTGGGGGGCCACTGCAAAGGCGTTCCTCCCTCCGTGGGCCACTCAATATGAGACGTGGGGACCCTCAGCTATATCCATCAATGCTGGCAACCAGCCCTATGCTTTCTCTGCCCCAAGTCAGTAAAGGCCATAGGGTGATGCGTGTCTCCAGGGAAGATGCTTTGGCTTTGATGTACAGAAAGCAACAGTGGGGTCTGTCCCTGCCCTGGGGATATGCTGCTCCCCCCAGCCCATCTCAAAATCCCATCTGGCTCCTTCCTTGAAGCTGGGGAGATATGGTGCTGGGCCTCCTTAGGGGTAGCATGTGTGATAGGATAGAGAGAAGTCACCCCCTGACACCGACATGGTAATATTTGGTTTTGTCTCATCAGTTCTTTTTCTCTTTCCAGCCACTGTGCAGGGCCTAAGCACGTACAATGATGCTGAAAATGGGAATCACACCATATCAGAGAATCCCAGCCTGGTTTGGCTTGGAAGAGACCTTAAAGCTCATCCAGCTTCAACCCCTGCCACAGGCAGGGACACCTTCCACTAGAGCAGGGTGCTCCAAGCCCCTGTGTCCAACCTGGCCTTGAACACTGCCAGGGATGGGGCAGCCACAGCTTCTCTGGGCACCCTGTGCCAGCGCCTCAGCACCCTCACAGGGAAGAGCTTCTGCCTAAGAGCTCATCTCAGTCTCCCCTGTTCTGGCAGGTTAAAGCCATTCCCCTTGTCCTGTCCCTACAGGCCCTTGTCCAAAGCCCCTCTCCAGGTTTCCTGTGGCCCCTTAGCACTGGAGCTGCTCTGAGGTCTCCCCTTCAGGAGCCTTCTCTTCTCCAGACTGAATCAGCCCAACTCTCTCAGCCTGGCTCCAGAGCAGAGCTGCTCCAGCCCTCGCAGCATCCTGTGAGCCAGTGGGGATTATTCCTCCCTGGTGTCTTGCTTTCCAGCTCTGTGAGCTGAGAGCAATCCCCAGGGATAGATCACCAGGGGTTCAGACTGAAGCTGGGCTAGAACTGAAGCAGCTATCCAGCTATCCCCACTGCCTTTACGCTGTCCCTGCTTCCCCCTCCCTCCAGCAATCGCAGCCCAGGCTGAGGGTGAGAAAGGAAGGAAGCTCATCTCTTTGTTTTGTCTCTGGGAATCACTTTGCTGGGTGGTCACTGTGGGGTTGGTTAAGGTCTGTAGGCAGAAGCAAATGGGGTGGCAGAGCACCCACACTGCAATTGTAACCAGGGAGATGAATTGATGAGGGTCACAGGGACCCAAGGCTTTTGTTGTGTTGCATCTTAGCTTTGTCATCACACACTTTCACCCTAGACAAAGCTTTAGGGCCAAATCTGTGTCTGATGTCTCTAATGCCAAGAACAAGCAGTCTGAGTTTGTAGGTTGGTGTGATGAGCCTTACAAGATCCTCTTCTAACATGAGTTCCCAACCAGTCTCCTGCATTTGGTGTTGTTTAAGGGCTTAGGCTCCTCTCTTCCCTTTGAAAGGATGAGAGCAGTGATGTTGTTGTCTGATGCTGCAGTCTTAACTTGGCCCTTTTGGACTTTCAAAGCTCTCTGTTCCATCCTCAAATCAGTGATTATAGTTATTTATTACACACACAGCCTTGTAGTGCATCTCTTTGCATTCACAAGTGGAGTGCTTCAGCACAGAAACAAGATCAAACCTTTGGGAAAGCTGAGTTCATCTGGTCCTTGTGGCTTGTTGTTTGACTCCTAGGTAGATAGAAAACCCCAGCCTCATGGGGTTTACTCACTGCAGCCATCCTCTTGTGTTCTTCCCTTGCCTTACTCTGTTGAAATGACTTAAAAGGGACAGAACCACTTCCAGCATGCAGAGAGAAGCAAGTTAAAGTCTCCCAGAAAGAGTTAAATGTGAGGGTAAAAGGGGCTCCTTTAAATGCTCCTAACAGTAAAAGCCGTGAGTCAGGCTGTTGCAAAATCCTGAAACTGGCATAAAAGTCATGAGTTAATTTTTGGGGTTGTTCCTGTTTAATGCTCAGCACTGGCTGTTTTCCATCTGCTGCCTTAGCCAAGAGGTTGCAAGTTCCCCTCTTCTGACTTCGAGGCTCCTCAATTTGAAAAGTCCTCCCCCAGGTCATGGAGCTTTTGATAAACCATTAAATACCACAAAGCTCCCAATGGAATTACTAGGAGTGGCCACTGTGTGGATGAGCTGGAGCAACCTGCTGTAGTGGAAGGTGTCCCTGCCTGTGGCAAAGGGTTGGAACTGGAGGAGCTTTAAGGTCCCTTCCAACCCAAACCAGGCTGGGATTCTATGATGCTATGGTCCACTCCACGCTGAGCAGCACTAGGCCTGGTGATACAAAAGCTCCTGAGAAGGACCCACTCTAAAGCTCTCAGGTTACCCAGTTTGATATATTTCTGTCTCTGTTTTCTTTTAATGCAGCTATTTTTCTTGGGGGGGGGGGGGAGGTATATGAGAATCATCAGACTGATTCAAACATGCCTCTATTTTTGGATGCTGATGCACTAAACCTTATGATGGGGATAAAACACCTCTCAGCTCCCCCTGGCTGTCCTGGTGCTGGTGAGGGAGGTGGGAAGGGGTGTGATGGCGGGTGATGAAGGGGCAAGAGGCTTCTCAGTGATGGGAAGCAGTGTGTTTTCTACTCCTCTGCCACAGTTAGCTTCCAGCAGCAGGGAAACCAGCTGAAGGGCTGTGAACACACCTACAAGGGGCATTTGAGCAAAGCCAAGCAAGCTCTATTGGAATAAAGTCCCATGGTGACTGGACCAAGAAGCTTGACCAAGCCCTGATGCACCCTCTGTATCTTCCTCCTGTCCCGTCTCTTGGGAATGGTTGCCAAGTGTCTTTTGTATGTTTTGGTTGATGTGTTTCTTGCTGCTGTAACCATGGATTTTCTTGGGCTTACCCATACATATCTAAGTTCCTATTTCTTCTCCTCCTCCTCCCACCCTGTGCTAAGATGGTGTCTGATGACCAGCAAGGCCTGCGATTGATTTGGCTGCCTGGAGCCCCCGTTGATTTGAGATTCCAACAGTTCTGGTTTGTAAAAGCCCATTTCTTTTTACCTCTTCCACAGTCAAGACTTGCTGCTTTTCCTCCAAGATGTTAGGCCTCACCTGAGCACTCCAAAACTGAAGCTTTCACTTTTGGCTTTCAGATCTTGCTGCATCCAGCCCAGCCAGGACTCTACAGGGATCCTGGGGTTTCATTCCCTCTCCTGCTGCCCATTTCTCCTGACGACTGAGCTGAAAGAGCAGGAAAGAGTCCCTATAGCCTTGAGAGACAGAGCTTGGGACATCCCACTTGAGGTGCTGCAGATGATCTTCCCTGCCTTGGTAGGACTCAAGGAGGTGAGAGCACCCTGAGGCGAGACCTTGGGCAATCAGGTGAACCTGGAAATCACAGATGCACACTGGTTTGGGTTGGCAGGGACCTTAAAGCTCACCCAGTCCCAACCCTTGTGAACTTCCATTAGAGCAGGTTGTATCCAACCTGGCCTTGAACACTCCACTAGTTTTAAATCGTAACTGCACCATGAAACTTGATCAACTTAGCTTTGTAAAGCCTCCTTTCTGTCTTATTTCACTCAGTCAAGACATAACCTTTAGACCTTACTGCCATTAATGTGGGGTGTGGATAAAGGGGAGGTTTCAAGCAGGGACACAAAATCATCCTACCCCCAGCTCTAACAGCAGGAAGTGTTGAAGATGAGGAGGAGAGCAAACCCCCAACATGGATTGGGTTGGTTTTCTGAGTGACCCCATCAACAGCAGAGAAGAGCAAGAAGCTGGAGCTGTTTAGGAACTTCTCTGCATTATTTCCTGACTCCAATTTGAAGCTCCAGATATTCCTCTCACCAAAGAGGGCATCTTTTTAAGTGGATTTACCTTTTCAGCTCTCACCAATGCTGGTCCCTCTGCCTTTAGCTATGTTTCACCAGCATGATTAGGCTTTACATGATCTGCCCTTAGCAATATCCTGGGAGCTCATATGCACCGGACCCTGTTTCCCACTTCCAAACACCTTCTCCTTCCTTCCCAGCATGTCCCCCTGCTGCCAAAAGTAACTGAACTCTGGATCTTCAGTTCTTTTTATGCCTTTGCCCTATTGAAGCACTGCAAAATGTTACTTGGAACTGAACCTTCCTCTCAAAGCCGCACCACACAGCGTAAGCTCCTGCAGTCAGAAGTCTCCTGACATCTCCTCTGTGTTTAATCTATTGGTAGAAGCTGTTCTTCTGCCATGATACTTTTTCACAAGTGTATTTGCTCTTGCTAGGGCTCTCTAATCAAACTGATGTGTCAGGGCTCCTGGCTTATGCCAGCACAACAAGGTTTCTTGAGAGTAAGTCACTGCATTTGCACGGCTGGAGCTGGAAGCTGGATTTCTGCTTCTGGGGACCAGCCTGCAGAGAAAAGCTCATCCAGGCCATGCAAAGATGAAAAGAATACAGATCTATGGAGAATTTTTGGGAGAAAAGTAGCAACTGCATCCACAGTGGGTTGCATTAAAGCTTGCAGAGGTGAAGGAAGGACCCAAAGCAAATGAGTCCACCTGGGATAATCAGGGATAGCTCTTCTGGCCAGAGCAGAGCCTGAGGAGCAGTGCTGAGGGGAATGAAAGACAAACTGCTTTTTCCTCGTGCCCTCCCTCTTGTTATTATCTACACATAAATTATTCACATTCTTTGCAGGCCGAGTCTTGTCTTGACTGAAGGGGTTCAGATCATTAGAAACACAACAATTCTCTGCATAGTTCATGACAAAAGAAACTCCCAACAGGGCAGCAGGTTAGAAGCAGGGGGAAAAGGGATAGAATTCCTTCTGCTGCCATTTCTGCTCCCAAGAGCTTCCTGAGGTCTCTGGCCTCCCGATACCAGAGACTCCTGGATACTCAGCAAGAAGAAAGCCACAGCATGGAGAAGATGGAAGGACCTCTCAGATAGGCCAGAGAATCCATTGTGAATAAGAATGGGATGCTGTTGGGGAGTATCACTCCAGGGGAAGAGGTCAGAGATGCCCTGCACAGCTTTCAAGGTAGATTTCATTCTGTCCATTTAAGAAATGAATGTGCCTTTAAAAGTTTCCAGTAAAGAGCTATCTCAGAGCAAACATGATCCAGCCCAGAACTGCTGTTTCAGCATTATCCGAATGCTCAAGGTCACTGCAGTTTGCTTCTTTTTCAGCACTGGAGTGGCATTTTGCCATCAGCATTTCCATGAAATGGGTCATTTTTGATGAATTCTCAGGTTTGGATGGCAAGGAAGGAGGAGCACTGGATGGTTTCCAAGCAGTTCCATTACAGATGCCAGTGTTTTGCATGGGGCCTCCCTCACCCTGCTTTATTGATCACCAAGACACGACCTCAAAGGGTTGAGTCTGCCCAGTGATGGTGTCTGGATGAGCATCCCCATGCTGCCTCTGTGGGCATCTCCACTGTAGCTCCCCTAGGTCAAGAAGAAATACCCTCTTTAAGAGGGGCAGGCAGAGCCATGGCTCAGCTAATAGGAAAGGAGGTTTCTAGAAGCGACTGGAGTTGGTGAGCCACACATCACACTTCAGTCCCGCAAGCTGGCAGCGAACAAGTTAGTTCAGTGGCGGAATGAGGCTTCCACCTCATCCCAGGGCCATCAGGGTCGTGCTGGAAGGTGATGCAGGGAAGCAACTCTCATAAGCTGCAGTGCAGGTCCTTCAGCTGATGAAGACAAGGCTTCTCCAGCTCCAGTTCGTGCTGGAAATCAGCCTTTCCCTTCCCTAACATACGCTTGGGATGCCTACTGGGACACATGGCTGCCCGCTGGGGCTGAAACCGTGGCGAGAATGTCCTGCTGACACAAGAGCTAATGAAGTATTTGCACTATACTGTCCCTTTGTGCTATTATATATATATAAATGTATATATATAATGTATGTATAATGTAGATATGTATAAAAAGGAGGACACAAATTGGATATAAACATATGTGTGTGTATATATATATATATATAAGCATAACAAGAAATTATTTGCAAGTAATTATGAATGAGGAACTTGCACACTGCCATGGTCTCAGCAGGCACAGCTCCCCCCTTCTCCCTCCCATCTTCCTGCGTCACTGTCTCTGTTATCTAGCTAAAAATAAAGGAGTGTTGGGCACCCATGTGTCCCATGGGTGACCGCATGATAAACATCAAGCCTTGGTGCTAACAACCCATAAACAGGGGTGGGGAGCAGCAGCCGGCTTCTCTCTGTGCAGTTGTTGCCTCAAGAGGTACCCAGGCTCCAGCCCTGCAGTGCGGCAAGGAGGTGGGGAATGAGGATGCTGCTCATGGACCCCAATCCCTCTCCTCCCAGTCTTTCCCTCATCCAGAGCTAAGGCAGTTTTTAGCTTCAAGTGAGCCATTAGAGGCTCTCTCAGCCCAGAGCATCCTCAGAGGTTGTAAACCCTCCAGCCACAGGATAAAAACCCAGCAGGGCTCTTTTTCCCAATCCAGCCCTTTTCCATGACCTCCCGATGGGATTATGGCCTCCTCATGCTCCACTGGTCTCTTCAAACACATTGTCACACCAGGACTTACCCACCTGCAATCACGCTTCGGTGCCCATTCCCCCCCAGCAGTTACCAGGGACACGGAGCAGCCAGGCTGAACAGAAGTGCTGATGCTGAGGTTTCACAATGAGTTTGAGCCCCACCACCTCCTGCTTTGCTCTCATTCAATTGTACAGGGGGGTGGCACAGGTTAGGGTCCCAGATGGGTTATTTACCCTGCAGCTGATGAGGGATAAATCACTGTGGGACTCTTTACATCACGCCCTTATGATGGAAAGAGGAAGATGGGCAGCAGCTGGGACAGGCTCAGTTTCAGCGCCACAAGCTGAAGGCAAAACTGGCGGGGGATTATCCTAAATCATCCCTATCCCATTCCCAATTGGAGATGCTCCAGGGCTGATGGAAGCATAGGTGGTGGGTTGGCTTTTTGAGGGGGATCTTTTTTCCCTTCTGAGCAATCAGGTGGTTTCTAAGGCTGGGCTGGGAAGAGCGTGGTCCACCCTGGGAGGATGTGGTGGGCAAGAAACCATTGCAAAGCTGCAGCATTGCCATTTCCCCTCCGGGCTGTGGACGTTTTAAACAGGCAGCAGAAACCAAAGGACGGGGAAATTGCCAAAGAGTTGAAAGGGCCCCCTTGTTAGTGTAAGCAGCAAGGGAGGGGGCTTTCCAAGAGCTATTTAAACATTAACCAGCACAACAATTGCCCTGTGTTCCTATTCCCAATCACCACAATGGTCTTTCACCTCTGCAGGGTCCTGAGCTGCCTCCAGTCCTGGCGCAGTGCTGGGTCAGTGAGAGGAGCCTCTGTGCCACCTCCTTTCCCTGCAGGACTTCACGACCACCCCTTTGGGCTGCCAAGAGGTATGGGAGCAGGGGACTAAAATGGGTTATGAACATCCTTCTTGCAGCTATAACTTGGATGTGGCTGGAGGGTTTCAGAGCCTCAGCTCCTGAGATCAAGACAGCATCAAGCTGTGGATGCTGAACCGAGGCACTGAGCTCTGATGCAGGACCTGCAGCCATCTCCCCCCAGCCAAGCACCATTCAACCACTTTCCCCATCATGTAAGGACAATCCTGCAGGTTTGGCATCTTTACTGTGGGGATCTGAGTATCATAAAACCACCAGTTGGGTTTTTGTTAGCCTTCAAAGTAAGACTAATGCTGACAACCTTCTTTTACAGCCTGAGGGCATCTGAAGTGGTGTGATGAGGTTTAGGCGGGAGCCGATGGAACTGAGACCCAGCTTTGTGACCTGCTCTCTTTCCAGCAGCAAAGTACAGGTTTGAAAGCAATGCTAGGTGGGATCAGGAGCTTTGGGTGTAGTTTGTCTCTCCAGACACCAACTTCTGGGAATGCTACAGCCCCAGCACTGAGGTATCACAAGAAACTGTCTGAGCTGACAGTAGCCCACTCCAGAGGCAGAATGTGGGTACCATTGGGCTGGAGTGATAAAGGACAATGAAGATGATGATAATGATGGTGATGACGATGATGTGTGAGCTGATGAAGAGCTGGGTGCAACGATCTGTACATTCCATTCCCCAGTGCCTGCCCCTCATGCTGCAGCATCTTTGCAAGCCATCAGATGTCGTTAGTCAAGGCTGTCATGGAGGGAGGATGAGGGTATCTTAAGGACCATGGGATTATGTCTGGTCACCCACCAGCTGGGTGCAGCTCCAGCATGAACACTTGGGAGATTTACAGGCTTCATAACTCACCTTCCACCAGTACTTTAATGCAATTGTTGTGGGGGTTTTTTGTAAGCATTCCTCCTTTAAATCTCACTCAAAGATCTGAGGGAAGCAAACACAGGTTAAGCTGAAACAAACCGAATGGTTTATAGAGCAAATATTCCCAGGCTGGGCTCTCCATATTCCCATGTCATTGTAATCATCCTCAATAAGAATGTGCTTGTGCTGAAGTGGATCAATTGTGCGCTATAGGCAAGCACTACCTTCTCTGTGCCTGGTGTCCTGTAGCCCTGACTCCCAGCAGTGGCCTTTTGCTGCTCAGACCCAAGGTATATGTGATCTGGGGTAATTCATGTTGAAGAAGCTCTAGGATGGAGCTGACTGAATGAAACAAAGCAAACAGGCTCCAAATTTCCAAATTGGAATTGGGGGGGGGTGGGGGGGTGGCTTTGTTCTCTTTGTAATGGTTTATAGCCCATTTTAAAGACATGGTCATCCCCCCCTACCCAAACTGTGCCCACAAGTTCTGCCATGTGAAAGGTTGTGGGTCCTTCTTGATGCTCCCAGCCCATGCTTGCAGAGATCTGATGCAGCTCATAGCTCCGGGGCAGCATCCTCAGGCACTCCACGTGCCACAGGGGTCCCCAAGCATCAGGAGCCCACAGCTTCAGCACCACTGGCTGCTTCACTGCCCTGACTGCTTGGGGAGATGGATCAGCAGCATCAATCATGGCCAATGTGCTGCTCCTTGTGCAATGTTCTCATGACAACGGGCTTAAACACGCAAAAACCCCTGCTGACAACAGCACTCTCTGGCCAGGAGGAGCTCTGTGGCTCACAGGAGGATCTATGTCCTTACAGCTCGAGGCACAAGGAGCTTTGCTTGCAAGAAGACACAACCCCCCCTCCAAAGTGGCTTTGGCAGTGAAATAAACCCTGCTCACAGTGGTTTCAGTTGCACAGTTGCACACAGAGTTACAGCCTCCCAGAATCTGCAGCCCAAGCCCTAATGGCTGTTTCTTCTCCTCCTCCATCCAGGGGCAGGGATGGTTTCCCCCATTACCCCCCAAACTAGGAGGACAGCCCACCCCAGTTCCATGTGGAATGCAGCAGGTCACCCTGTGTGCCCAAGGGACCCAAGTTTGTGCTCGCTGGGGTACAGGGACAGGACAATGGTGTGCAGGAATACCTTCCTGAAGTGGCTCCTGCCAGGTTGAATCAGTGAGGACAAGTCCCTCTGTGCTATGGAGGGTGCAGGCACTGCAGCATCGGCTCCTGGGCTTCCAGATACATGGAACACAGGGCAGGAGAAGCACATGATGTTCTGCGTGCTGCCTGGACAATGAAGCTGGAGGCACAAAGGGAAGCGATGGTCAGAAGCATCCTCTGGAGCACCATGCCACCTGTGTGGCAGAGGGACAGGAACCCCTTGGTGATGCTCTGTGCAAGCCCATGGAGACTGCACCTCTCAGAGGCTCCCTGCATGGTCACAAGCCAGCTAAGCAGTCAGCAACTCAGTCCTTGAATGCCACAGATCCAACTGAGCTCCCAAGGGTTTTTGAGCTTGTATAGATAGGAGTTCAGTAACTGCATCACTGTGTAAGTCTTTAGGTTCATTTCTAGGTCCTGCAGCACTTTAGAACCCAGATGCTGCTAAGCAGGCAGCCCATCCTCACTTGCACACTGGAAACCTGGGGGGCAGAGAGAAGCTCAAGCAGGACAAGCGCTCACAAGCCCTGCCAGATCCCACTTTCACACATGGGGCTCGTCACTTCCTCTCTGCTGCCTTGTCATCACTTCAGCAAAGGAGAAGTCATTTAACCAACGCAGGCTGTCCTCTCTGAGATGTCACCCTGTGTTTCCTGTGTCAGCAGCCACCCAGGAGCAGAGGCAGCCTCCAGCGCTGCAGCATCCTGTTCTCAACTGTTCTTAAAGCCTGGTGCTTTAACCCCTGCAGACCTGGCTCTCTGCCACTGAGGCCATGCACGGATCAAACACCAGCACTTCCTCACCTCTAAGTGCTGGGTGATCACCTCCTCCACATCCATTTACCATAGGAGGGGAGGGAAGAAAACACCCACCCCAAAGAGTGCTCTCCCCTTTCATGAAGTGACCCGCAAAGAGCTCAAATTGAATTAACTGCAATATTATCCATGTCCTAGAAGGCAGCCCCATGCCCAGTGATCCTGAGCAGGTCACTTCTCCATCCCTCTGCCCATGGCTCCTCTCCCTGGGGAGGCAGGAGCAACCTTCTTTACCACACCCAACGAGAACCAACTGCAAACTGCAGCATTGCCATTGAGAAATAAGGAGAACACATTTATTTTCTCTTTGTTGTTTTTATCAGGCCCTTTCATTGTATAAATAATTTATTTCAGTTCACAGCATTATGTCTGCATCTTTTAAAAAACAAAAGAAGGAAAGACCAGGAGGAACAGAGACTGATGGACAATGGCAGGGGTAGGACACAGGACACCCAACACTGATGGGAACACTGCAGAGGTACCTGGGGACATGAGCGCGGTACCTCGTGAGAGCTGCTCAGTTAAACCCAGTGAAGGTCATTCAAACCTATGTCAAGACCCACAACCTTGCAAAGAACCCAGCTCATTACCACAGCCACAACCCAAGCGCTTTCCCTTCACCACTGCTCTGCTGAGGCACATCTTCCAGCCCACCGCTGGCGACGCGCATCTTCATACAGGGGGAACGACCGGGCACAGGGCTGGGAAACGTCACGGGAATACCACAGAAGCCATTGGGAAAAGTCTGTTTAATTATTGCAGAAAGCAGAGTCGGTGGGCACGGCACCGTTCCTTGGCTCAGCTGAATCCTCCAGCTCGCTGTGCTCTGCCATGTCTCCCAAGGGGATGCTCTAACCAACACCGAGCTCCAGAGATAATACATGCCACCAGGCTTCCCAGGCCAGCATCTGCTAATCCAAGCCCTACAAGGAAGCAAAGCCCTGCCCGTGTGGCCCTTATAAACCTGATCGATTGCTCACGGGGAAAGCACAGCTTTACATTTTGCCTCTCCAAAACAAAAGATCAATGCATGTGGCTTCTGTGGCATCAACAAGAAATGTGTGAAGTTCCTTTTTCCTCTCTCGACAAGTGCCAGCATTGGAGGTGAAGACAAAGCAAAGCAAAGCCAAGGCAGTGGGCACAGAGCCACCTAAACTGATGGGACCAGCCCACTCAGCTCACAAGCTGGGACTCGTGTACCCCAACCACCCCAAAAGCCGCTATTGGGAAGGTGCCGCACTCATTGCTGCAAAGGAGAGAATCAACTCCCTGAAACCTGAAGGGCATTTTCCTTTTGTCTGCTCGGTGCTTTCCCCTTGGCTGCTCTGGGAAAGGGGTTTTCAATTAGGGAAGCTGGTGTAAAATCACCAGGGAAGAACCCTGCCGTGCTGCATGGCTCTAAACTCGGGATATCAGGACCCTGAGGGCTGCCTGCTTCTGCGCTGGGGGCAGTGTGGAAAGCCAGGGAGGGCTGGGTCCCAGGCCAAAAACACACACAGCAAATGGCTTTTGGGCCCCAGTCCTATACAGGTACCAAAATGTTCACCTGCAGAAGGCCTTTTCCAAGGCCAGGCTGGACAGAGCCTTGGGTGACACAGTCTAGTGTGAGGCGTCCCTGCTCATGGCAGGGGGGTTGGAACTGAATGATCTTAAGGTCCTTTCCAACCCAAACCATTCTATGACAGAGGAAGGCCTATCCCTGCCCCAGACACCCAGCAGGCAGAGGCGGCAGGGGCTTTCTGCTGTGAATCAGGTTTAAATCTTTATATATATATAAAACTAACCCCCCCTCCCATGTTACCCACTCCCATTCCCATGTCTCCTTGCACTCTGCCATATTCCCGGCACTGCCGAGTCCCTTTCCAGCAGAGATTTTGCTAGCTCTGGCCATCCGAGCTGTCCATCCCACCCTGCCATGACCCCCCCCTCAAACCTGCCCTTAGCAAGCTGTGCCCTGACCTCTCTCACAGCGAGCCCAGTACCACAAAGCTTGCTTTTGGCTTGGCTTTATTCCCTAACCCCTACTTTTGATCACCCCAGCTGGAAGCAAATGAGCACTGTAGAGCTGAGCGCGATAAGGACCCGCTCGGGGCTTTGCTTCAGAAGGTGACACTGAGTCTGAGATGGGGCACTCCTGGGAGACCCTCACGATGCTTCCAGCAGCATCATCCCAAATCCTTGCCTTTCTTATCTGCTTTTTCCAAGCAAACAGCTTAAAGCTCAGCACCGGTCAGCCAAGCACCCCTGGCACTGCAGCCTTACAGGGCTGAAGGCTGCCTGTCCTTGCTCTGCACCCTAAAACACCAGCCTGTGGGGTGGGTGTGTGTCTCCTCACCCACCATCCCCCCCCGCCGACATTTTGTGCTGGTCCAGCCCCCCCTTCGGCTTCCAACACCCCTTCCCACCGACAAATGGAGGGATGCAGCGGGATGCAGCAGCATCGGGGCGCAGCTTGAAGCCCCCTCACCGCTGACCTTGCCGAGCCCTGGCGCTGCTTTACCCCCCCCCCCGCCCCCCCAGCCCCAAATGTACACGTTAAAGATCTAGAAGCACGCTGGGCTCCTCTCAAATGCACTTCAACAGGGTCCTGCCCTGTTCTCACACACACACACACACACACACGCAGCCATCCCGGCACACAAAAGCTCGGTGGTCCCGAAGGATGGAGGGGGTCTCGCCCCAAAAGCATGTTTCCGTCCGGATCCGGCCCTTGGGAGCACGGTGGTTCTCGGAAAGGGGCGGTGGGAAAGGGGAGAGATCCCGGCCCATCGCCCGCAGCCGGGATCTGGGCTTGGCTGGCAGGAGCGGCTTTGTTATCACCACTATTGTCTGTGCATTGGGAAAAGAGGGAAGAAAAATAAGCAGGGAAACAAAAGAAGAGGAAAACCAAAAATAATAATAACTATTAAACCCAAAAGAATCGCTTTGGTTCTCTCGCCCCCTCGGTTCCTTTGTCTGCTCCCCCAATCCCTCCCCGCGTCTGCGGGGCTTTCTACCGCTTCTTCTTCTGCTTGAGGGACTTCCTCCGCTTCAGGATCATCTCGTAGAGCTTGTCCATGCCCTCCGTGAGCCCCTCGCCGATGATGGCGCAGGCGGGCTGGATGTGGTAGGTGGTGGAAGGGGTGAGCTCATGGAGCGCCAGCTGCTTCTCGATCTCGGCCACCGGCAGGGACTTGGGCAGGTCCTGCTTGTTGGCGATGACCAGCAGCGGGGTGCCCTGGTTCTCGGCGAACTTGGTCACCTTGTGCAGCTCCGTTTTGGCCTCCTCCAGCCGATCCACGTCCACTGAGTCCACCACGTAGATGATGCCATCGGTGCAGCGGCTGTAGGACTTCCAGAGCGGGCGCAGCTTCTCCTGACCACCCACATCCCAAAAGTGGCAGCTGATGCCTTTGGCCGTCCCGTTGCTCAGCCGGATCTTCTCCGTGTTGAAGCCGATGGTGGGCACGGTGTTGACGAACTCGTTGAACTTCAACCGGTAGAGCACCGTGGTCTTCCCCGCCGAGTCCAGGCCCAGCATCACGATGTGCAGGGACTGGAAGGCGGAGATGTTGGACGAGATGTTCCCCATGGCCACGGCTCACGCCGCGCCCTCACAGCCCGGCGCCCATCCCCGCGCCGCCGGCCCGCAGGGGCACGGCTCGGGGTGAGCTGGGACGGGCAGGGAGCGGGCAGCGCAGCTCCACGCGGCGGCGGCAGCAGCGACCGGGGACTGGCGGCACCGCCCGGGAGGAGGGACCGCGCCGCCGCCTTCCGCCGCTGCCTTCCCCCGCCCTGCTCCTGCCGCACCGCCCCTGCCCGCACCGCCCCGCTCCGCTCCTGCCCGCATCGCCCGGGGTCAGCCCCGGCGTGAGGTAAAGGGAGTTTGTCCTCCTGCGGTTAAAGCGCGGTTTCCATCGTCACCGGGCACGGAAATCCCAGCCTGGTCTGTGTTGAAGGGACCTTAAAGCTCACCCAGTTCCAACCCCTGCCACGGGCAGGGACACCTTCCACTAGAGCAGGGTGCTCCAAGCCCCTGTGTCCAACCTGGCCTTGAACACTGCCAGGGATGGGGCAGCCACAGCTTCTCTGGGCACCCTGTGCCAGTGCCTCAGCACCCTCACAGGGAAGAGCTTCTGCCTCTAAAACACAGCACCAAGCCAAGGCGTTATTCACTGCACGTGAGACACCTTCTGCTGCTCCATGTGTAATCCCGGACTAAGGAAACCGGGGAGGTTCAAAGTGGTTTAGGCACAGCTCACAGGGTCCAGCACAGCTCAGAGACCCAGCTGCTCCTTCCAGGCCAGCATGGGGACAGGGGAGCCACCCCTGCTGCACGCTCTGGGGTGCCCCACTCTTTGCTGCTGCATTTATCCCTGAGCCAGCAGCAGGGTTGTTCCTGCAGTACTACACATCCCTCTTTAACAGCATATTTAGAATAAATACCAACTCTATCTGACAGCTTAACTAGAAAGCCCCAGAGAAAGAAGTGCTCTGCAGAAGACAGATACTGCTTTTTAACTTGGAATGCTTTCACTACGCAATATGCAGCCAGGATTGTCAAACTGGAGTGGGTTTATTTCTCATCTTCCTATTTCATCCCGAGGATGCGTGCTGCAGCTCTGCATGGCGATATGAGTACCTGCTAACACACCCCATCACTGCAAACGCCTGCAGCTCCCTGTGATGGGCTCAGAGGCGCAGCTTAGATGGGAATCACCATGCGGTGACAGTGGGAAAGGTGCAGGGACTTTTCACACGGTTCAGGGTTTGCTCTGGACCAGGCAAAGGGAGTGAGCTTCCAAGAGCATGTGCAGGAAGCGCTGAGGCATCACCTCGCTCCAGGCGCTGGAGCATTAAAGGAATGCCAGAAATAGAAGAACAGGGTCACATCTGTGAGCAGCGTCACCAGCAGATCCCACCTCTCCTGCCTGCACTGCTCCAGCAAAAGCTTTCCTTACCGCTGCTGTGAAGGATAATCCCAAGGCAAGTGCAAGCCAGGCTGAGGAATTCCTCCTCTCCCCCGCATCACTTCTAACCCTCTCCTTCCCTCTTCCTTCATCCCCACTGCTGAAGACAGCTTTGAGCCTCGAGTCCAAAGGCTTCCTTTTCGAAGCAGGACACCAAATTTCTTTCACCCCAAACAGCCAAAGCCCAAAGGAGGGATTTCCCTCCTGTGCACCCCTCCTTTATTCACCCCAGCACTGACTGTGAGTTAGGAATAAAGGCAAGGTTGGATAGAGAGGCTGATCATACCGTGGGAATGCTCTAAAAAACGGCCTTATATTAGATGCTCCCAAGGGGATGGAGATATAACCCAGGAGCCTTGCGGTGGTGATTTATGCTGCACTAATGCCAGCTCTCCATAAATAAGCTGTTAAGACCTCCGCTGAATATTAAGCACAGCAATAACAGCGTTAATCGCAGCGGAGTCTGCCAAGTCCATCCAGTGGCAAATTCAGGCAGACGAAACCCGCCTTTTCCATAAGACCCTACCTTATCCTCTGCTTTCTCACCCGCTTTCCACCTCCCCAAGGTCAAGCAGCCAAGGTTAAAGCGGTCATTAGCATCTCAATGTGTGTCTGCACGTCCCTGACAAAGGGACCGCTCGCTGGTCCCCAACACTTCGCTCCAGCAGCAAGAAGACTGTTGCTGCCATAGTAACTGTTTTCAGACATGGCAATTACTTCTTCCCACCCCCCTTCCTATCCCATCTCCCTTCCCCCAGCTCATCCCGTGCTTCCAAGCTATTTTTGGGTTATTTTGGGGGGGATGGAACACAAAGCGCCGGAGCCCGCACACATCCCAGAGACGCCAGAGGGATGCTTCCCATGCTTCCAGGGCCCTCTCATGGATTATCTCTAATAGTGGCTTCTACTCTGCAGCCAATTACCTCCCTATCACCCAGGCTGAACCAAGCCTTGGAGCAGCAGCTTTTGCTGGCAAATCTGTTGACTCAGAGCAGGGGAAATGGGTTTGCAGAGAGCATCCCAGCTCCTGGAGCATGGAGGATCCTCTCCCCCCTCCCCTGCCCCTTCCTTCTTATTAGCATCACTTGGTTTAGTCTGCTCCCTTTTGTTTCTGCATGGAAAGCAGAGACACCAGCCCAAACAAAGCTATCAGGCAGGGCTGTAATTAGGGCTGCCCCCGTTCTTGGGGATCGCTGAGGATCCTGTGACTAGTGCCTGGATGTGGGAACACCTCTGGTAGTCAGCATCCTTTTCTTGTGCCACTCTCCTTGCTGCCTTCATCCACTCTCTTCCCAAGGATCTTCCAGCCCACTCACTGGATAATGAGGCTGGGTAATGCAGGATCATTAAGTGCTGAACAGCCTGTGAGTCCCATAGGAGCCTTTTGGATATTTACTCTGAGGGGGAAAAAGCTTCATGGGTTTAATGGGACTCCTTTTATCCTGTGGGCTGCAGGAGCAGGGTGATACAGCTTGGGTACCCCCAGTGAAAGGGTTAAAGAGGGAGAACAAAGGGGAATAAGAAGAGACAGATGCTGAATATTTCACACCAGGATTATCCCTCTCAGAGCTCCATTCACACCTCTGTGTCTCTTGGAGACAACTTCACTTGTGTGCTTTTTTGCGCTCTGTCTCACCCCCATGCTCTGTGAGTGTCCATGTCCCTTGGAGCTGAGCCCTCCATCCCTGCCCTCTCTTGCCCATTGAGAATGAAGGCTCCTGGGACAAGGGACAAGGAGGTTTTGTGGTTCAGAGGTATCTCCAGGGACTCCAGGATGGATAGAGGATGGAAGGATGTATGGAGACCTTACTGCAGCCTTTCAATACCTAAAGGGGATACAAGAAACCTGGAGAGGGGCTTTGGACAGGGGATGAGCTTTAAGGTCCCTTCCAACACAAACCAGGCTTGGATTCTGTTAGGATTGCATGAATGATGTGTGGAGGGAGGAATGGAGAAGGGATGGATAAAAGCAGCAGCATAGCAGAGAAATGACTAAATCCAGGGCGCTCCTAATGCAGGAGTGGGAAATAATCCGTTCCTCTCCAGCACAGCAGCTCAGCTCCCTTTCATGACCTCAGATGCCTTCTCAGGCCAAGCAGAGTCCTCCAAGGACCATCTTAAAGCTGACTTTACAGCAAGGAAACACTAAACCAGCCACAAACTGCTCTAAAGGAGTTCCACACAAACAGCCTTACCAAGGCAGCACAAAGGTTTCCTGGTGGGTTAGGCTGGGGTCTTCAGCAAACCCCATTCTTTTGGTGCTGTACCTGCACTGCAGCCCTAACCCTGCCTGTCACTTCCCTCCTCCTCCGGTGCATGAAACCCGGCAGGAGGAACAAAACATCAGCCTGATTTGAGCAGGCAGAGACAAAAGAAGCACAAGAGAGCTCTGTGCCTTTGTCCCTGTCATTCACTGGGGTGACAGACGTCATCTTTCCCCGGCTTACTGCTGTGCCCCACTGCTGCAGCTCAGGACATCAGGAGGGGACACGGGGCTGTCTCACACCGCATCCAGCATCTCTTTCTTAACATGTCCACTCTGTTTTGGATGTCCTAACTGACAGCTTGGATGCTTGGAATAAAACCCCATGTGCTGAGAGGGAGGGAAGGAGAATGTCCTCCTTTGATTGTTTTACAGGTTGAGGCTCAGCAGCCTTAGGAGGGGGAACTTCACTGGTGCTTCTTTCCTGAGCATCTCCTGACCCCCAGGGCTGTGGCTGCTGGGCAAAGCAGAGCTCATCAGCTCCTCATCTGTGTGCTGGGCTTGCACTCCCAGAGCGGGAGCAGCAGCTCAGATCCTGCCCCTCTGCTGCGCTCTGGGGAGACCCCCCCCACAGTCCTGATCCAGCTCTGGGGCAGCAGCACAAGAGGGACGTGGAGCTGTTGGAGCGAGTCCAGAGGAGGCCATGGAGATGCTGCGAGGGCTGGAGCAGCTCTGCTCTGGAGCCAGGCTGAGAGAGCTGGGCTGGGTCAGCCTGGACAAGAGAAGGCTCCTGAAGGGGAGACCTCAGAGCAGCTCCCAGTGTATGGGGCTTGGAGCAAGCTGCTCTATTGGAAGGTGTCCCTGCCTGTGGGAGGGGTTGGGACTGGATGAGCTTTGAGGACCCTTCCGACACAAAGCACTCTGATTCTATGATTCCATTATTCCATAATTCTATCCCTTCTTGCAGGAGGGGAGGAAAGCCCCGGGGAAGCCCCATGTGGACCCCAGAAGAACAGAGATGTTATTTGGAAACAGATACTCCCCCTCTGCTTTGTCTAGGAGACATCCAGGGGTGACTGAGGCACCTCCAGGGCTGAGAGCAAGGGGGGATCAACCCTTTTCTTCCACCTGGATGATCCAGATACCAGACCCCCAACACCCTTTGCACAATCAGTGCCTGGAGGGGAATAACCCCTGACTGCCCTGGCTTCCAGGTGGGTAAATAACTACACTGAAGGGCTGCTTTTGTGCTCACAAGCATCGTGGGGCCAGAAGGGAGGAGACTGAAACCTGGCTGGTTTCATTGCCCCAGGATACTGCATTGGGTTTGGGTACAAACACAGCTCCCTTTAGTCCAGCCGAGGGGGAACTGGGGGGTAGAGAGGGAGAAGTACCTGCACCCACTTGGTTTCCCATGTTGTGGTATACACTGAACACCCCTGCGGACCAGGGGTGAGGATCTGGCCTCGAAGGGCTCCTTTGGAGCTGTATAACCCCATATGGTGGCAGCCTGGAAGCTCAAAGGCTAAAGCACTTCCACATCGAAGGAAGGATGCTGAAGCGGGGAGGGTTGAGCACACACGTGTGATGCAGAGCGTGGTTCAGGTTTGTC